AGTGGAAGAAAAAAGGAGACAGCGGCGGGGAGAGAGAAAAGGAGTTGCGAAATGAAAGAGTTGACTTGTTTCCCTCGAGGGGGGTTTCCCTCAGCCAGCGTGTGAAGTGATGCCCTCAGTGATTCATGGGAAATTTACACATTGGGTGTGAAATGCCCCTTGGCTCGTATTAAAGATTGGGTTTTAATATCTGACTAATACAAAGCCTTAATAAGATCCTTTTTTCTGCCCCCTTTCCGGCTTTCCGTGGGTTTATTAGGGAATTGATGAAAGAACCAGCTGGCAAATGTCTGGCTCTGTATTTATTCACAAATGGATTTGAAAATTGCCTGTATGCAAATGGCTTCATAGAGCAAAGCTTAATTCCTCTTCCGAGAAATGCAGAGATGTGTCCGTATAGCCCTCATCTGACGCAACGGATGGTGTACTTCAAAAAATAACTGTTTACCTCTGACGGATCCCCTCAGAAATTCTGATTAAAGCAGAGAGTATTCTTCATTCCAGCATCTATTTTATGATGGCTCCTCGTTGTTCTAGGGGTCGGTGGAAGCCTCATGGGCCTCTCATTCAGCTTTACAGGTCTCACTGTTCTGAAAGCTTGACAAACTTCTAGCCCAGTTTTCATTCCTCGGTGAGCAGCTTTGGAGACAGTTGGACTGATGGAGGTTGATGGAGGAAGACAGTGGTTGATTAGATCTGCCTCCTGCTGAGCTTTGATAATTCATAGCAAGGGAAGCACAACAGGAAGTGTTTTAATATTCAAATACATTCTTCCAAATTCTAAAAGCAAATGCGACAGATAACAGCCTGACTTTGCTAAGAGCAACGGGGCTCTTTTTAGTCCAGATGTTGCAGAAACTATGATTAGCGGTACTTTTTGCCCTACTTATGCCTATAAAACCACTTGTTCTTTCATGTAGAAAGTATCTTACCAGCTGTTATTGGTGTTTCTTTGACTACAGGTGCTTTTTTCTCCTTTGTCTTTAACTTTGACTTAATTTTGGTATTATTTGACAACAAATATTTAATTGTTTTGTTTATTTCACTATAAATCACATTCGGTGATGAAAAATTCTTAACGTAAAAAACCTTCTATAGACATTTGATTAACTGAAACTGCATTAAAGTGCTCATTTTTGGTACTTTGTGAGAGTTTTTAATATTGAAGATGAAGGTACTGTTTAAAGTAAAGTTTATTTATAAACTAATTTCGAGAGGAGGACATGCTTATGATTGATCGCAGCTGGTCCTGCATTAGCCAATGCATGATCCATCAATCAGACGATTCCTAAATCACTACAAAAAAAAAACAGAGTATCTAACCTCAGCCATCTTTGTCTTGAAGAACACCCCTGCTCCTCCCCTTTACTTGACAGGGCAGAACGGAGGCCCAATGGTTCTCACAGAATGTCACTGGCTCAGATCTTTACCTGGCCAAGTCGGCATTTCTGTGTGGAGTTTGCATGTTCTCCCCATGTTTGCATGGGTTTTCCCCGGGCTCTCCAGTTTCCTTCCACAGACTAAAAAAATATTGGTAACATAAGTAAATTGACCAACCCAAATCAACACCACAGACAAGCATTTAATTCAGCATATCCTCTCCATAGTTATTCATTATATACATCCACCATTATCAAGCAGGGGAGTTCCCAAGACCTACCTGATCTTAAACTCCCCTCTCGCCCTGTAATGGGAGGGAGCCCCAGGCTCGAGGATCTCATGAGCGGGATCTTTCCCGGTACAGCATGCTAAACACGCTTTATATATATTAAATTAAAAAAAAGAGTTAAAATTTGTATGTTAAAAAAAAAAACTAAAACCTCCATAGTTGAAAAAACATCAAGGTATAAATAGTATTCGCTAGTCTTGGTAGTTTACTTTACGCCCAAAGTTTTGTCTATTTCACATATGGCAAGTCTAACACATTCACCTTTGCAGGGCCATCATCATGAAATTGAGTAACCTTCACTGAAACGCCAACAGATGTGATCGCTGAGGTGTAAAGCCACTAAAACACAACAATCACATTCACAGATGATAGTACAGATGCTTGGTGAGAAAATATCACGAAGATGAAGTGAGTTAGAGAACCTGATTAAGGCAGCCGGTGGACTTTCATGATCTCTGGCATATATTTGACACGCTCAAAGGCCTCCTGCTCGGAAGGGCTCATCATTCCCCCTCACTGCGACTATGGCATCCAACGATAAAGTGGAGATGAAGTGCAGGATTACACTGATGCCTTTCATCAGCACGTAACCTAACAGCAGCCGCATGAAAGGGAATACAAGGTAGAGTACTGGCGTCTGGAGACACTGCCGGTTGGCTTGGAGTGCGTGGGACGGCTCTGTGATGTGTCCGTTCCAATAATCCTCAACGATAAACTTTGCTAAGGGCTCAGTCGACGGAGGTGGCAGCTCTGAACCCTTCCAATTCCCCCCCACCTCTTTTTTCTAATTGCTTTTATTACAGAGCCATTGATCGAGAATGGGTTGGCGTGGAAAAAGGAAGAAGAGTGATCCTACAGCAGCGCTTTGTTTACCACGAAGAGCGAGGTGTTGAGTCTTTGTAGGTGCTCTGGCTGTCAGCTAATTTCCTTTTCATCAGCTCGGTGATGGCTTCGCCTGTTCGCTTGCTTGTACCTTGTGTGGAAAGTCAGAGTGGATGACGACCGAGTTTTCAAATTAGTCAGAGTACCGTGAGCCTTCAGCACTGGATCGACTAACAAGATTCAGCTTTAAACACTCATACTGGCATGGTGCTGTTGAAACGGCAGTGTGTTGTGTGTGATCACTTGCTGAATCCCGGTTTAATTAAATGGGGGTTAGGTGAAGGGTGTCGAGGCGCAGATGGTGTAGGTGTAGGAACTGGAAGTGTGTGCGAGCACCTTAATCGCTTCCTGTGGGAATCAAGTCGAAGTGATGGCCGCGGTCTCCGAATGACAGTTTTATTGCATTTATAATGTCTGTATACACAGCAGCGTGAAGCAAGTGTCGGAGGAAGAGAGAGAGACAAAATCGTTGGCTGTCACTCTTCGAGCCCCCTTTTTCCCCTCCCCGTGCCTCTGGCCCCTCACTTCTGTCAATCATATTTGTGAAAAGGGCACTGGCTCTTAATACGGTGAATGACAATGATTTTTTAAATAATAATAACCTGGATCCGCCGGAGGAGCGGGCGAGGGCATCCCTTTATATTCTGACATTTAAGATAAGCAAACTTTCTCATAACGTCAACACGGATAACAAATACCCTAGAATAGCGCACAGTTGCCCTTTAGTGGGATTTGCACGGCTAAGAGAGTTTGAAGCCATCTAATTATGGCAAGTATAAGCATCGTGCTGGACAAACTTCCTCTCAGGCTTCGCTGGGAGTTAGCTTAACTAGCTGGTGAGTCATAGGTATGCAAAGAGGCTCACGTGAAAACAGTCTGTACTCCGACACAAAGAGTAAATACCATGGTAACCCATAGTTTCTGACAGGACGGGAATTTTAGATGGTTCACAGTTATGGCTCAAGTAAAATAATTCTATATTATTATTATAGAATAATATTATCTTTGATATTAAAGCTTAATGTTATTCTATGATTTTATGAAATATTTTGAAAGCTTGTGCACCACTCAGTTATTAATCAGGAAATGCTTTAAAATGTAACTTTAATTCTTCTATTTTAATTGTGCTAAGAAGTTGAATGTTTATTGAACAATATAAACATTAGGGATAATATGGGAATGCTAAAAGTGTTATAGAATAGAAGAACTAGTTTGAACCAGGGCGTAAATGAACACTTTCACAACCACTTTGACTTCTGAACAGGTGAATACCCCTATCATCTTCAAAAATGCAAAAATTCTATTTAATTATGTATTTTGGTGGTAATCTATTATAAAATCTTATAAGGGTAACCCATTATATGAAGTATACAGTAGGAACTTCAAATGTATTTATAACATAATTTTGAGCGGATCATGTGCTTATGATTGACCACAGCCGGTCCCGCATTAGCTAATACATGATCCTCCGATCAGATGATTCCTAATGAGTCACTATAAATAACCACAGTCTTTATTCTACAATTATCTTCAAGAAACCCCCCTTCCTCCCTTTCTCCTCGCCGCTTTACCTAGATTGGGCAGCACGGTGGCCCAGTGGTTAGCACTGTTGCCCCACAGTAACAACACTGCCAGCACTGGTCCTTGCCAGGCCGGTTGCCATTTCTGTGTGGAGTTTGCATGTTCTTCCCGTGTCCGTCGGGGTTTCCCCCAGGTTCCCCCAGTTTTCAGTCACCATCCAAAGACATACCTCATACGTAAACAGACTAAGCCAATCGGGCACTATAGTCTAGCTCCCAGCATCAGTATTTCCTTTTCAAAGCAGTTCACCTATAGACACATCAGCGAGGGAATTTTTAAGATCTACCTAAGCTCAATCTCTCTCGCCCTGCGAACAGGAAGGAGCCCTGGGCTCAAGGATCTCTTGAGTTCAGGGCTCTCTTCCAGGACAGCATGCCAAACAAGCTTAAAATAAATCATCAGACATGTCTGAACGCTTGAAACATGTTAATATAATTCCAGTAATCTTATTCTTCAAATTCCGCAGGTGTGCACAAGGACACTACTAAACCCGATGAAGGTAAAACTTTATAATTGGACATAAAAACTGCACCAGAAATTGACCAGAAAGCAATAATTGAGAATACACTAGCATTGATCATGAAACGCTCTTTCATCAGCAGTGTAAATTTAGACTTTTCAGCTTACTCCCTTTATTAATCTGGGGTCACCACAGTGAAATGGACTGCCAACTTATTTATGCAGCAGATGCCCTTCCAGCTGCAATCCATCACTGGGAAACACCAATATTTAACCAGATTAGATCTTCCATTTCATTTCTCCAGAGCCAGAACACAATGTTGTGTTGATGCAGTGGACTAGTAAACAACCACTCAGAATGTCCTCACATTATATACTGTAGGTGTTTTCTGTGACACTCAATTTTCTTTTGAAAATAAAAGCATCCAGTTACTTTATTGTAGTAGTAAATCAATTCAATTCTTCATATTAATATAGAACTTTTTACAATGTAGATTGTGTCAAAGCAGCGTAACATAAAGTTCTTGTAAGCTTTAGTTGGGTTCAGTGTAATGTAAATTTCACTGCTGTAAGCCGAAACACTGAACACTGAAGAACAACTCCACCAAAGCACAAGTAATAATAACTATACCTTAGTTATACCTTAATATTAATAACTATGTGTGTAAAAAAGTTCATTCTTAAGTTTTACTTTTGTAACAACTACAAAACCTGTTGATGTAATACATTTCGTCATCGTTTTCCTATTCCAGAGCCGTTCAGAAGGACTGTACAACTCTGGCCTTGGGTGAAGTGTGTCGAGGCTATATGAGAGCGAGAGAGACTAACGGAATAAAGTGAAACAGCCTCTTGAAGGGCTCTGCTTCTTTTTACAGACAGATGGAGCAGAAAGTGAGAGAGAGGACACCTGCTGGTCCACAACGCTGCCCCCCCTCATGCTTCTCCTTTTTCTACCTCTTTCTCTGACTCCAGCATTAGAATTCAGCATCTCTTCTGCCTCGTCTGAGTGAGTGGGTTACTGAAGCGTGTCACAGTAAGAACCAGTGAATGATAATGAACCGAACGTGTGCGAGAGGGAGGGGAAGAGGGAGGAGATCCGAGAGGATTCCTGTAAGCTGGCTCTCTTCTTGAAACGTGGACAGGGAAAGAAAGTGAGCAAGCGAGTGAGAGGACAAACGAGGTTGTCGACTGAATCACCACCACCTCCACCACTTCACCACTCCTTTCTCGTGGCACGGGGGAGTGAGTGTGGGACGGGACGCCCCGCACTGTTCCCTCTCCCTCATACCCGTCCTCCACCAACAGACCCACTACTCCGAATGAATTCATTCATCTTCTTCCATCCTTTTGTCATTTTCCTGTCAACCTCCCTCCGCTTTATTATTATTATTTAATTTCTCTCCTTCTCTCCCCTCCCTTGTTCTCTTTTCGGAGTTCTCCCACACATTGCTATCCCACTCGTTTTGTCATGACCAAGGAAGAGAAAATGATCGGCCGGCGAGCAATGAGAACCAAAAAGGAACGGCGGTACGAAGAGAGCTCTGTCCGGATGTGGAGTTCAGGACTGCAAGTAGCCGGTCCTCTCCAGGTGGATTATCCAAAGCAGAGAATTTTTGAATCCCACAGCGAAAAGAAAAGAGCCGTACTGAAATCCTGAGGGGGGACGAATGTTCTTGCACTTTCCTTGTATTCAGATAGTTCTCAACTTGTTCTGCATTGTTTAATTCGATCTCTTGTTTCTTGCTTGTGTCTCCAAGCCCCCCTTTCCTCTCTCTTGTCTTCGATTTGGGACATTTTGGCTGCTCATTGTGAAGAATTCTCGGGACTGTGCTCTGAATAGCACTTTTCAGTCTAATTAATTCCTTTCTGAGCCAAGATTCGAAAAGAAGCCTTTTTTCCTCACTCGGCCTCCCTCCTTTTGAGACCAAAATAATTGGAGCTGTGGATTCCACTGTAGCCGTGCCACAGGACCAAGTTGGACCAATCTGGACACAACACCTGGTGCATTGTTTGCAAGAGAAGCCATTTTTCCCGTTTTCCAAATCACTTTATTATCTCTCCGAGGGGGCGCAACCACCCAAGCCTTGGGCCTTAGTAATCTGGATATGTTGAAGTGAAGAAATGGAGACCTCCAAGGAGATGAAAGTGAAAACAATGTTTCTGAGCCCTAATCTGAGAACTAGATGAACTTATCCTGAAAGGAACAAGCAGAATGAAGGACAGAACTGATTTGGAGACCCTTACAACCTTGTGAATCTTCAAATGATACACAAAATTAGCTGAATCTCCCTGTCCTTCTACATTTTGTGTCCTAACTAGAAAACATGAAAAAACGAAACCAGCATACCAGGAATTGGTCTTTTGCGCTCATTCCAAGGCACTGAAAAAACTTGGGCAAGTCTGGGAACCCTTCGTTGGGCTGTATTGTACTTTTTCCCCAGCCTTTTCATTGCACCCCCCATTTTTTTCTACGTTAAGTCATTCACAGGGGCACTTTCTCTCCCCCTCCTCCTTTCGGTAGCTGAAAGCCGCTGATCGCTAATCCACGGCTGTTTCATCAGATTCTCGTGCTGATTTCTACATTGATTGGCCGTCTACTTCAGAACCTCTCCGGCTCCCTCCTCTTGCTCTTTCACTCTCCTTCATCCACTTCTCACTCTCTCATCCCCCTCCCTCCTTCTCTCTCTCTCTCTCTCTCTCTCTCTCACCCTGCCTCATTGTCTCTGTGTGCGGCAACAGTGCTGCTGGAAGCCAGTCCTTTTCACTGCTCGCCAGACAGAGGAAGGCAGAGGTGAGTCCCGTCAAATGCATCCCAAAGCCATTGCCCACTCTGTCTCTGACATCGCTCTCTTAATGTGAATGTCCACCATTGTGTTTGTTTATCTGTTCTCAAACTCTCTGTTGCCATCTGGCATAAGTGTGATTTTTGTGTTTTCCCTCATTGCGTTGTCGGTGAGTGTGAGTAAATGTGGTCTCCGCTGGTGTGTGATGGCTTGGTTCTAGCAGGTGTTTTTGGTGGTTGGATGCAGTTGCTTGTTACTAGAGTGTGTGTGTGTGTGTGTGTCTGATTTGGGATGCATTTCCACTCATGGAGTGTTGCTGTGGTTGCCTTATCTCAAAGTTCAGCATGCAAAAATCCTTTAGGGTCTAAAATGTTCTGCGGAAAAAGAGAGATTCGCTGACCGGTGCTTCAGCTGCATATGCTTTACGTAGTGCCGCTGTGCATCCTTGCATATCCACAGGACAAGCGTTAATAAATGCATACACATGCATATATGTTATTATGCACTTTAAAACTTCAATCTCAAGCACTTTCTGACATGAATTTTATTTCACTATGGCAAATTTAGTCGTATCCCTAGGGCTGGACAGAAATAGATCCCAAGCTAAATCAGGACAAGCACCAAGACTCCATGGAAAAAGGTGTTACGCATGACCAGACTTCCGTGCAAAAACTAAACTGAATTTTAGAAAAAGAATTAAAATAGAGACAAGGAAAAGAAGATTTAAAACAAGCAAAGATGTCACATATTTAAGCAGGACAGGTTTTGTACATTTTTACCATGTTTTATTGCCGTCTCTTCATTTGTCCCATAAAATGATGTAAGCTTTTCCCTCAGTATCACCTCATCCCCAAATCGGATCATCCACATATTGCACCAAGACCTTCATCTTTATTAGGTGCTAATGTCTGCGAATATATAATACAAATCTATAAACGTATAATAGACATGTTTAAATAGATATAGTGTCATATATATATTCTTAATTTACCTGTTAATCATCTACATATCAGCATGTAACTGTTAAAATGTATTTTCTGTTTTTGAGCATCGCTTTAAACTATCTTTATTCTACTTAGATTACTAGAGTTCTCAGTCTAGCATTGTTGCGGTTAAGTTGATTGGTTTCTACTGGGTCCTTGCAGCAGCATAGACAACTGAAGTTTATCTTCATTTGCTGCATGGATGCAGAGATAAAAGACTGACACATTTCCTTATTACTGCTCGCAAAATGTCAGCAAATGCAGCTTAAGCTTGTGTAAGATAACAAGTGGAACCGTAGATGGTAGCGTGGAGTCAAAAGACATCATAAAGTGGATTTTTCACAGCTAAACAGGATTCCCTCTATATTCAGGGTTTCCCCGCTGCTTCGAGATGGAAAGTATAATGTGTTTGTGTGTGTGTGTGTTTGAGCAAAGGGAAGGGGAGGGGAGTCGGACACACAAGCTGCGAGAGACGATTGACAGTAGCTAAATTGGTTCAGACACATTACGGTTGGATCTATCCCTTTTTTGCAGCGGGGACGGACACCTACGGAGGGTACGATATATGTTGTCGTCTCAAAAGCAGCAGGTCTTCAGAATCCTGTCCTCTTGTGTGAATGCCTGTCTTCCCGAACAAAGGGGTCCAAAAGGTTGAGGGATAGTTGTACGCACCCTGCGTGACACAAAATACAATCCAGCAGTAACAATAGCCAGCGCATAGTATAAAATGGTGATTTCTGTGTTAAAAATACCAAGAGTGGCAGAGTGGAAGCTCGGAAGCGACAGGGTCTGGCGGTCTCACGGAGATGCAGGTGTCCAGAGATGGCAATTCCTCCACACCTCCGCACTCAGATACTTAAGATGACACCTCTGACAGCCCCGCTGTCAGTATCAGACTCTGCCGAGAGATTATCATTCGCCTCGAACAATGTCTCCCAGTCCCCTATTGTCCTTTCCACAACTCTCCGGCTGCACATGTTTGGCTTTCCGTGCCATTTTCCAAGGAACTCAATGACCCTGAAGACAGCTTTCAGATGCTGCTCTAGGCTAAGACACGTAAACTTGAATGTAGAGTAGTTCTTTTTTCTAAATTGGTAAGATTCGTGAAATATCGCTTGATACTTTTTTCTGTTATTCTGATGATTTTAATGTGTACCATTCATATTTTTTAGCGGTTAAAGTATAAATGATTACTAAAAATGGTTTCAACATATAATTTTGGTGCTATAGGCAATCAACCATTACGTCATTCTGTTGCCTGTTGCTGTGGGCGTTACCCTTTGAGAAGGGTGGCGTGACTTTTGCGGTCTCCCGTCCAATCACTGTTTACACCTCCCCTTGCCCAGCTGCATATTCAGGGCGTGGCACATTCTCTCTGACAGCCATCATTCTGTCCGTTTTGTCATTTGGCTTTCAAGTTGAAGAAGTTAAAGGGATGCTTCATCACCACCACCCCCCCACCCCCTGCAGAAGAATATAATATTAAAATAGCTCTAAATAAATGTGTAAATCTAAAAAGGTGTGCGTAATGCATATTTGAAATGACAAAGTCAATATATCATGAAATAATTTTAATCTTTGGTGAACTATATCTCTTTAAATAGATTTTTTTTTCCCAAAATGGTAAATACAAAGTATTGTAGAAAATTAGACTTATTTATCCTGTGCAAGCCAGTTTTTTTCCATCATATTTGCGCACTCAAAGGTAGAACTGACATCAAGGATGTCTTAAACTTAGTTCGGATGCTTTTATTTTTTGTCAGGCAAACATGATGCGATTGTGTTGTTGAGGGGGGAACCCTGCCTAGTGCATAGCAGCTGCCATTCTCGTATCGAAAAAGAGGGGGAGAGTTGAGCATCCTACGTTTGAATGATGAGAGCTCTCCAGCATACAGAAGCGTGGTCATACTGAGGCCCATTCACTCCCTAACATTCCCTGGCTCTTACTCATTTTCTGAGAAGAGGGGCGCGTCGCCCACCAGCCTCCTTTCGACGCCTCCCTCCCCCATTTTTATTTATCTATTCTCTCATTTTCCCGGTAATGACTCTCTCCCGTCAATTAGGCTAACTCGTCGCCAACGTTCCTGAAGTGAATGAATACATGATGATGCCTCCCCTGCCGTTCCCCTGCTCCTGGGAGGTGCGAAGAAAAAAAATCAGCGCGATCTTGCAGGGGAAGGCATTTGCCAGAGATAAAGCTAATTTAATCCGATGAAATGTGACATTTGGCGGCGGACGCTCCCACTCGGCCAGAGTGCAGGTGCTGCATCAAGATTAATGAATCGCCAACAGCCCATCCATTCGCACTGAGAGAGAGAGAGAGAGAGAGAGAGAGGGCGCAGGGGGTAGGGCCAGAAAGACTGAGATAGAGTGAAAAAGAAAGAAGCAGAGAAAGAAAGAAACATTGAATGCAATAGAGGACAGTGGTTGGTGGGAGGTCAGGTACTCTGTTAAAGGAGGGCGTTGAGCTGCGTGCTGTGTTTTGTCACCAGGGACCCGCTGTGAGAGATTGAGAAGGCGGCTACCTTGATTAGAAGTGAGAGTTCTTGCTCCCCATATCTCTTTTTTCATCTTTCCGATCCTCCTCTTCAATCCCACTGGTGTTCTAAAGTGACTTGTATAAGAGCCCGTGGCTTGTTTTCGTATCTGTGCTCGCATATGCACAAGTATGTTTACTTGCGTAGTTAACGGCGCCCACGGTTGGTGGGGAATTTCCTCGCGTGAAGAGCACGGCACAGCCAAAGGAAGCAGATTGGCACTTTTGACTCATGCCAGAACATAATAAATACTTACTGCCTCTTACGATTACTTCTGCTTAGAATTTCATTAGGAAATCAAGCCTATTAGCTCTAAACTATTAGCTTTTCAAGTCAACACTGCAATTATGAAGTGTTTGCTTGCCTACTGCGAGCTGAGCTTGAAATAAAAGCCAAAAACAAGTTTGGACAAATTTAAGAACTGCAATTTAAACACAATGTTGTCTTTTACATACTAATACATTATAAATGTTTATGTATTTAGTCATATCTTAAAAATATAGATTTTATTAATCACTTCATAAAAACATATACATTAACACTATGCATGCATCATTGCTTTTAAGGCCATTGTCATTGTCTTTTATACGTACATCTAATACTCTCTGAATACCTTAAACTGTGCAGCATCTGTTTTGTTTATTGTATTTTCTATATATAGATATTTGAAAACCTTTAAATGTTTTGTTCTTATACAGACAGTTAGCAGGTTGAGGGTGTTTTCATATTCCCCTTCCGTTATGTTCTGATTTCACCTTGACCTCCCTGTCTCCTAACTTATAGAGGGTGACAGGATGTCCTCATTAGAAGAGAAAAAGAGGGCGTTCTGCATTCACCAGGGGACCTGATTACCATATAAAGTGACAGTGTACAAAAACAAAAACTGTAATCTACTGTATGAATCTTAACTTCTGACCTTGATGAGAGATACTTTGCTGTGAACTGGCTACATATTAGCTTGATGCTGAATTATAGTTCCCAAGAGCCATCTGTATCCGGCAACCCGGTAACAGTATCTTTTCCTTATGCAAATCAAGCGTTTGTGCAGAAATGATAACCAGAGGAGCTGCAAAACCTGCTTTTTATGAACGATCCGCCTCAATGATCAGAGGTTTTGCCTAAATTCACACATATTGCATTGAATCATGGCAACCACTAGACCTGAATGCAGGCAAATTGTAGGCATAAATCCTTGCTGACACAAGATCGATTTGAAAAGGATAAAATTTATACAGACAGTAAATAAACACATTATAATAGCAATTAACTTCAAAAATGGATGTGAACTATGAACTCTTAAACACAATGAAGTTCCTTTATTTGTATTGATGGTTCCATGAAGAACATTTCAAATCCCTAGAAATCGTGTATCTACTTAACAATTTTCTTTATGGTTCTGTATAGTAGATAAATGTTCTTAAATTATTAAAATGTTCTTCACACTGCAAAATGTTGGGTTTCTCAACTCTGTCTCAAATTGGCCACATC